TTGAGCTGGTAATAATGAGCGTCCCACACTCATTAAATGAAATGGGTTTTTCAGGGAATACAAGCCCTGTTTTAGAAAGTAATCTAAGCTTTTCTGAGTTGTCTCTTTGTGGAAAGCATCCTGCAAATGAAGAATATTTGGTTTTCTATAGATTCAATCATGATTCTATCATCAGTGAATTCATTTTTTTACTATCAAATGAATTTGCCTACTCAAAAGCATGAGGCCTAAGACAAAGGTTTACCATATGACAAAGATTAGAGTAAGCAGATGTGATTTAACAGAGAGATAGCATGGAGACCTCAGCTGACTGAAGGTCAGGAAGGTGACAGCGTGGGAAATAATTTGGTGGAACTTCTTAATGTTTACGCTTACCATCACCACCGAGCCATCAGCTCAGCTATGGCACTCAATAACCTAGAACTGGTGACTTCTTTTTTCTATAAGTTCCCTTCACACAAGCACTATCCTTATGAAGCACAACAGTTTCCCATTGCTCCCTGGACCCAAAATATGCATTTCCACTCTGGCATCCAAAGTTCTCCATAATACTGATGCATCCTGCCCAGATATCCTATCTTCTGTTTCTCATTCTCCATTAGTGGGTTAATCTTATCATCTCCTACACATGTTATGGTCAATTATTCACACCTCTGACGTTTCAGTCAAACTATTTGGCTGCATATAGCCAGTGTCTCAGCCCAGTGTTAAAATGTTTGAAGGCTGTGCTGAGTAGCACCTTATCTGACTGGTTTTTCCTTCTCTTATTGGCCACAGCACATTATCATCTTTGATGAATTTTAAGCTCCTAAGGAGAAAGGACTGTCTTTTCCTTCTTTCATATGTCCACAGTACATAGCAGAGTCACTGCTTAACAAATAAATACACGCTGACTACTATTGAATGTGAAGTTCAGTGTCTGGGTCAGTTACAGAAAGCTTGCATGTTCACATCTCCATCAACCAAAGCAAATAATATTTATATCAGATGCTGTTTACTAGTCAGGGTTGCAAAGAAAGATGAAGAAGTGTGGTATCTCGTCAAAATAGCATTACCAGCAGAGACACCTAGGTCTCACCTTCTTAAAAGCCCATTTAATTGCTCAATAAAATATTTGAAAAAGGAAAAGCCTGAATCCACACTGAGAACCAGAGAAGGGTGATTGCCTACAAGACACAAACTCTGAGGAATTTAGGCCAGACCTTATATTATAGATAGAACTAGACTGAAAGAAAGTTTTAAGGTCTGACACACAAACCAAATTCCACTCTCCTTCTGAGAGAGGGTAGTGTATTGAGGCAGTAAGCAGGAAAAGATCTTGCTAAGCACCTGCTGACATCATCTGTATAAAGAGGCAGGGGGCTGGAGGTGAGGGCAGGCCAGGGGTTGGCAGAGGGTATACCATCTGGACTCACACCGGTAGGGTGGTGATATTTAAATACCTCCACTGTATTGGAGGCATCAAGATTTGTTTGGTCAGGTTATGGGTGGGGATATTGGAGCCAAGAAGGTGGAATAGAGATCACTACTATCCTTGACATTCCACTCATATCTACTGACCATTATGAAGCTTCCTTTCACAGCTACCTAAGACTCAATTAATACGACATTTTCCCAGGGGAGAATCATCTTGCTGCTGTTGTTGTTGTCAGGTGCCGTCAAGTCGGTTCTGACTCCTAACTATCCTACGTACAACAGAACAAAACACTGCCCAGTCCTGCTCCATGCTCACAATCATTGTTATGTTTGAGCCCATTGTTGCAGCCACTGTGTCAATCCATCTTGTTGAAGGTCTTCCTCTTTTTTGCTGACCCTCTACTTTACCAAGCATGATGTCCTTTTCCAGAGACTGATCCATTCTGAAAACATGTCCAAAGTATG